GTGTATCTTGTCTTCCGAGTTAGTGTCCAGAAGACTCGGTAACTGCATGGCTGGAGACACTGAAGGTCGTGACAGCAAACTGACAGCAGTGGCGATCTTGCCGTCACTTCTTATCAGACCCGAGTGCTTGAAATAGTGTGTATGTACAGTTGGATTGTGTACTCTGTGTTGACCATAGCTTTTCGTTTTCTTTTGCCACTCCTAACAATAGGCTCAATCCCTATCCTCACACATTCTCACTTACGTTGTATGCATGAAGAGTTTGGCAGCAACCAGTGAAGTTCGCTTCACTGTATTACGCGGAACGATGATGCCGCTGAATATTCTTTTGGCGTTAAATACTCTGCGGATTTTGTGCTTTTACTTCCTGACTTGCTTTTTATTTCATCCATCTCAGAATTACTGAATCTGCTGCGAGAGACAGAATTTGACGATTTGAATCAAGTTATCGAACGGCTAATGATTTCNTTCGAAAAAGAATTAGCACCGATTGCAGTGGAACTAACTCAAAACATGGTAAGCAGACTGCTCACTTGACGTTTTACGAAAAATCACCGATTCAACTCTTAATCACCTTATTGTGTTTATTTTATTCTAGTGTATGACATTCATGCAACTCATCCAGTCGGTGGAAAACGGCGTTTCAGAAGAAACAAATGAACGTGGTGACTACGAGGACATAGCTGAATATCGTTCCGTCGTTGCCACGAGCGTCCTAGATAATATTGAATCCATGTTGCGCATTGCAGAGGAACACGAAGGTCTTATTGCCGAACTTGAACCAATAGTGGCTCAACAGATACAGACAATCTTTGAGCGCGAACTGTCCATATTTTATGAAGAAGCACTGAGTTTATTATTCTCCCTCACCACAACCAAGATCTCACCGTTAATGTGGCAGTTGTTTGACCAGCTTTACGTTGTCTTTCAAAAAGATTCCTCAGATTGTTTTTCAGGTAAGTTAACAAGATCTAAGTTGATTTCCCCTATTTGTACCCGCACAATCAATCTTAAAAGTGAGGAACCCAGACATCTGGGTTACGTTCCCTGAAAGGCAGTATCTTGATTTCTCTAACTTTTCTTGTTTGCAGAAATGATGCCCTGTCTTCACAACTATATGACTGTTGATCGAAATGCCTTCATCTCGGATCCCAAGCACGTAGAGGTTATTGCTGCCATGTGCTCGCAGGTAAGCAGGTGCCGACGTAGGCGCTCGTGCATAATGTGAAGTCGTGCATTATGATTCACGCGACGCTCGTTTTCATTATTTTGGCTCATCCTGATTGTTTCACTGTTCCTCGAGGAATTTTCGCAAACCGAATATGTTGGTTTTCAAACACAGGAAGCAACATATACTTGATTTGTGAGTCCGTAATTTCCTTTCCCCTGGACTAAATTCCTGTACTCAACTCCGACAGTAATCAACCAACCCTGCATTTTGTGAAGAAAAACACCGGAGTTTCCACTTAATATTTTTCACATTCACGGCGTTAATGATGAATGTTTGTTGTATCATATGTCTTATCAATAGCTGTGGAACGTTTGTACACTTGACACCGGTATATCACTTTTCGGCTGGTGTGCAACCTCGCTTTTAAGGCTAAATACTGTTTCAGGATGTGCAACAACCACGATGTGTTACACGACTGAAATCGAGTTTGTTGCTTCAGCTGTTGAAGTCGTTTTGCGGAGAACTGTTCCTTTTCATCGCCATACTCTCTTGTTTTAGGTTTTACAATCCGAACAGGATGAAACTGTCCAGATGTACGCGGCAAAACTGTTGGAGGTGTTGTTGCTGGATTACCGAGGTCAGATTAATCAGTACGCTCCGAAGTTCATAGAACTGGCTCTCACGCGCCTCACACAGTCTATTGTGGCGAGCGAGCTCCGGGTCATGTGCTTGCAGGTAAGAAACCGTATTTCACACTTGATGAGTGAAATCCCGTTACATATTCAACATTGAAAGAGAGTTGCTCGTTTTGTCGTCCAACTTAAAGCGAAATCATTTCGTGTAGCTAACGCCTGATTTGGAAAATACAGTTTCTTCATCTTTCTGAACTGAATAAATCGTTTAATTGCGTGCTCGGAAACGTATGAACATCTCTTGACTGTCTTTTCCCCAACTATAGAATTACTCAACCACGTATTATTTATGGTTGATGACTGCGGTGCTTATGAGTAACTTAGATCTCGACTACCATACCCTTCGCTACACTAATGGAATGTCTTTCTGGAGACTTCGGCGATTCTGATGGCTGATTACGAGTAGTGATCATCAGCTTATACATGAACAAGTAAATGCTTATCCCAAGTATGGCGTACGAACCCTCTCGTGACCATGATGCTCTCCTTTTCTATCAAGCGAAAGATGTGTTGCAATCACTGCATGTTTTGAATCTTTTTGTACAATCTATGGTCTGTTTAATATTGCGTAACAGCCGTGTTTGTTCGCAACCGATATTACTTGTTGATAACTCCTTACATACACAGAAAAAAAATCTGTTAACTCCGTTAACTGAACTTGGATGATTATGCAGCCTTTGTGTTGCCTTACAGAAAATAGCACCTTGTGCGATGTTAACAGAAGGCTCAGTTGGTTTCCGGGTTACATTTGGTTTCATTTGATGGTGTTCAGGCTTAACGGTATTCCTTAAAAGTTTCCAGATTTATAAATGCCTTCGAGTTTGCATGGATCGCTCTGTTTCTCATAGGTTGTGGTCGCAGGCATACTGTATTCTCCTGGCGACGTTTTGACTATGATGACCGAGCACCAATGGCCAGGTACAACAGTTCCCATACTTGCTGAATTCCTGAAACTCTGGATCAGTGACGTTGATGTTTTCTTGGGGTGAGTCTCATGCGTTCGACTGTTTATTACATTCTCCTTTTTGGTAGTCCCCATAGATGCATTTCTAGAAATTTGCTTTATACAAATGTATATATTGAAACTACCTCACTTCATGCAAAATTTAATGTTACATATCCTGTAAACTTTGTTAGTATTTGTTCTCAGTTATTTTTATCCTTCTAATTGTCGTCAGCCTTCACGATCGACGTCTCTACGTGCTCGGTTTGTGCTTGCTCTTATCCCTCCCGGCGGCTCAACGGTCCTCGGTGGTGGAGGCTTTTGGCAAGGACTACATGCCCACGCTGCTTGTTCTTTTCGGTGGTTTGAAAAGAGCGTATGCGGCAAAGGCTCAAAATCAGGCAGAGAGTGGTATGTGGTGTATGCACTGAATCTGCTCAAATTTGAATGGACATTAATCCAAAAAGGTGTTTGATTATTGGTAGATATCAAGTCTTACTGTTTTGTATTTTATGCCTTTATCAGCCAGAGCTAAAATGAAAAATTAGATAGCCCCCTTGTTCTTCCTCGTAGATCTCACACACAAGCGGCTAGCCACCCACTTCAAGTGACTGTCAGTTGTTACATTTCTAACTTCCTTTTAAACGCGGAATCAACAAGTCTGTTCGACCTTGAGTGTTCCCCTTACCTTCCCACTTACAGTGTATCCTTAGATTGTGGGATTCACCCCTTTTACTGTATTCACTTATGTATATTAAGAAAAGGAAACGAAATATAATTTCGCAATATCCATTGTCAGGAATGAAACGCCAAACATCATGGTTCATTAGATTTTCTTCACAATCTTTTCTTTTCATTTTTACTTCCTTTTATTGAGTATACAAAGATAATTTTTCAGGAAGGGGAAAGCGGCCAATCAAAGGGCGGCTAGAATTTCTGCGATTAGGTAGAGTAGGTGTCTCGCACCTTCCAGCCGGTGGTCCAAAAGACTCCAACGGGGTGGTTGAAGATACTGAAGGAGTAGAGCAATAAACGGACAGCAGTAGCGTTCTTGTTAATTCTTATCAAATCAGAATGGTTTAAACGTTGTGTGCACAGTGCGATTGTGTACTCTGTTTGTGTTTTATGTATCATGAGTCTGACAGCTATCAGTGAAGTTCGCTTTACGATGATAGTGATAATTGAGAGGATAGACAGCTCAATTCCTCAGTTGTGAAATTTGGAGAAGCAATTAAATTCTAACCCAGAGATGGTTACTTTTCACTTTAAAAGTATTGTATCGTACCAGGTGTTGGGGATGTCCGCCGCTTCCGAGGTCAAGTGTTCGAATCTCACCAAAGTCACAAAAACTTTTTCACCTTACATTGTTAGGTTACTTGTATCTCGCGTGGCCGGTGTTTTTTGGAAATCTTTACAAAAGAAAAAGATTTCCTTCATCTGCGTTATACGTGACTTTTTTTGAAATTCATAGTACTGATTGACGTAACGACGTCTTTCAACCGAGTGTGGTAGTATTCTGCAGTAATTTGCTCTCTTCGAGAGTTCCTGATGTTGATTCCTTTCCCCGCTTTGTTCATAGATGATTCGGACGAAGAAGAATCAGAAGAAGAAGACCTAGAGGAAAAAGCCCTTGGAAGTGATGAAGATGAAGTGGATGAGGAGGGTGCCTCATACCTGGAGATGCTTGAAGGCGAGGTAGGCGCATCCTCAGTCAGTTCAATAGTCTATTACAAGCCTAATTTACCACTGTTCCTTGCACCTGTTTTTATAGCGTTTCTTCCGTTTAGAATATATTGAAGGTTTTTCAGTGTGACACGAGGCTATACCCCTTCATCACTACCACACAAAGGGCACTCATCCAAGACGAATTGGTAATTCGGCGCTTGAATATAAAGGGCTAAAGGAGGGAAATGAATTAAAGAAGTGTTACATGGTTCTGTAGTCCTTGGAACAAATAGTGGAATCGAATATTGCCCTTCGATTGTTTCTTAGGTATTTGCATAAGGACTTGTGAACAGGTCTTCGTAGCAAATTAAACTAGAGAAGTGATGATAGGTGCAAGCTCCGCAGACCAAAATCCATAGTCATAACTGTAGAAAAAAGAACGAGGTGATCTCATGAGAAGGAGCAAGTGGCTGGAAAGGGGACGTTAGAAACCAATCATTGACAGATTACGATTCCAAAGACGAAAATGTGGGGCCCCTTAGATATAGATACAATGTTCCTCTTTGTAACGATTTCGAGCCTTGCGGGAAGTGGTAATTTGAGGACTGAAAACTCGTTTCTCCCGGAAAAGGTAGATCGTTATGGGCATTGTAAGAAAAAAGAGTAGCGAACAAGCTTGTTTGCGATGATTATTCTAAAGGCCAATACATCACAATTTATATCACACTGTTTAATAGCGAGGGGAAATCATGACAAGTCGGAAGAGAAATAACATTCCATTTCCGTGACCGGATGTTACTCTCACTTTAGTCCTCAGTATGCACATGCGAGGACTAAAGTGTGAGCGACATTTGATCACGAAACTGGAATGTTGATTATTTCTTTTCCAACTTGTCATGATTCTCCCCTCCCTATCAAACAGTGTGAATAGGGAAAACAGTTGACTAGTTTGTTAGCTTTGCGATGGGTGAGTTTGTCTTGGGAATTAACTGTGAAGCGTTCGTTCTGAACTTGCTCATCGCAGCAATGACGAGAGGGATTTTAGGACAAAGGTCGGCAGTGTGAACCTTCATTTTCGCACCAACTGGGTTTGGAAACGTGGGAACTACACAGGTGCATACCTTATATTATGATGTCCACAACATTCATGGTTCAGATGTTTGTGTCGGAAGGGGACCACATTCGTACCGTAGATAAAATGCTATAACGTCGCAGAGACTACTCCATTCAGTGGCCTGTGATATTGTAGTGTGCAGCGTGAAGACTTTTGCTGCTACTGATGTAGTGTACAAATCAAAGGTGTTGAGACATTGGTCCGTTGGGCGAAAAAGATAGGGGGTTACTACTGATTTCAACTGCATTTCACTCTTTACCATGCGAGCTATTTTTTCCTTTCTTCAGGGCGAAGATGATGACGATGATGAAGATGACGATGACGAGAATGAGGACGAGGAAACAGCCCTCGAAGCTTTCGAGACAGAAATGGACAAATCCGAATGTGACATGGATGAATACGTCACGTTCTATCGTGTTATGACAGAACTAGAACGTTCCGACCCCAATTGGTACAGTCAACTCATCGGACATCTCACAGAGCCCCAGCAGAAGGAGCTAAAAGAGGTGGTCGATACCGCAGTGAAATGCATACAACAGAAAGGTATGTGGCTTTTTTTCTTATTTCATCTTTTCGGTTCATCCCACACAACGCTGATAAGTTGACTTTGCTTGCTTAATTTTACTAGTTTTAGTTTCTGTGGAAGACGTAGTTGCCTCTCTGACAGTACTGTCACATTCAAGAAATAGGTTAGAATCAACACCCAAAACAACGTTTTATTGAAGTAATTGTACGTTTAATAAGCTTAATTGTAGGTTATCCTTCATGTCATCGGAGTGGATCATATCGATTAAGCATTCCCCAAATGGAAGTATCGCAACCGCCAAGTGGAGGAGTTCTATTTACCCTCCGTGCCAAGTTCTTTTATATTAGCTCTATGTGTATTTTAGTCAGTCCCAACAGAAACCCTTATCCAAAAAGATTCTGCTCAAGTCCAATTCCTAAAATAGCGGAGAGAGCCAAACTCCAATGGCCAAACCCGGGCTCTCGATACAGTTCACAAGAATCGGAGACTATACTAATTTCGGAAGCAGCGAAGTTTGTGAGTTATCTGTAACCGGAGTACTCCCAGGTCTCCAGAACCAAAACTTAGGGAATTAACACTTCGAGCCCTAAGCTAATTTTACCGTGACCCGCAGTTTGTACAACCATTAACCATGCTCTATCGTGCGCCGGTTTGGGTTGCTATCTTTCGGCTAGCCGTTTGGATGAACATTAGAAGAAGGATATAAAAGGTTGAAAGTAGGATCGAAGAGAAACTTGAAAAGGTCAGTGGACTGATGTTACAAAGAAATTGAAACAATACACGAACGCCACTGTTTACGACACTCAGCCATATCACTCAGTGTCTCTAAACATCGGTTACGATCATCCCGAGGTCATTATCTCGGGAGCCTATCGGGACCCGCGTGACCGAGTCTCCTGGTTATAGTTTTCATACCCTCATGCCAGGTCTTGGCGTTCTTCCACCCACTATCTGCCTCGGCGAACATCGCTCGCCGTGGCAACCTATTTGGTGACATGCGTAACACATGCCCCAACCAACGTTATCTATGGAGGTCGAACACTTGCTCCAGTGGGCGACCGCAGTTGCCTCAAACTTTTCGCCTGACCTCATCATTGCTAGTCCGGCTGCCCCACCAGATTCATGCAATGCTGCGTAGATAGCGATGTTGAAACACCGACAGTCTATCTTTGTCCTGTTTTCTTAATGGCCAAGTTTCTGCTCCATATGGCAGAACTGGCCGAACTGCTGCAGCATACACTCGACCCTTCACAGACAGCCGGATGTCGCGACAGTGCCACAGATGTCACAAGTTGGCAAATGCCAACCGAGATGGTATCAAGTGACCTTGGCTCAAAGAGTTTTATCCCAATCAAGTTGTGTGTGCAAAGGTATGGTTTAGGTAATGCCTTTAACAGTCATTAAGAAGACAACAAAAAATTTAAAGGCTTGCGCTAAGATACCAGCTGGAATGATAGACAACATTTTTAATTTCAACGTTTGTATGGCCGATAAATTGAATCTTTCTGACAAACGTTTTGTTTCTGCATCTGAATATTCTGTTTTGAAGCATCAAACATTTCTGTAATGCATTATTTTAAAGTCAATAATAGGATGTATAAATTTCCGTTCGTATTTGTTTGTGGTAACTCTTGTAATTGAATCCGGTTGAGTAAGATGGAATAAAACAATGGCAGGGAAAGATAACTGGCTGCAGACCAATCTAGTTCCTCATATCATGCACACTTGCGATCAAATAATGGTTAATTTCGTGTTCAGTAGGAACCTGTGCATCACGCCAGTTAGATGACCACACTTTTATTCCAATGAAACCTGATTTTTTATTATTCGTCGGCCACTTCCTCACTTGTGAGAGCAGTAGGCTTAGTTTCTCGCTGAGTGTGAATGTATGAAAAACAGTTTTTATCCTACATCCATTTTTGCAGTCATCAACCGTACACATTCGTACAGAAAGACGATTGGAATAATAAAAACAAGGTTCAAGCGAAAATAGAGTTTCCGTAGATGGTTACAAAGATGACGAGTTGATGCACAAGTGTGGTGTCATCGAAATTAGATCATGTCACTTAATCTCTTCAGCAATCAATTACAACCATCCCAAGGTCCACATCCGATCTGTCAAACACGACCTGCTTTGGCTTAGCAGTGTCATGCCCTCGAATAAATCATGGACCTTTTTTTCTTTTCATAAAGATTACTTTAACGTGTTTTATTTGGCTCAGTCTGAAGCAGGCGTGTGAAAATTAAAAAAAAATAAAATGAAAATGGACCGACTCTCCTGATTAAAATTTTCACACGCTCGTTCGAGGTCACCCTTAACTTTTCCCCATCTACTAGCTACAGCCGATACTTGATCATTGTCGTTCATTCCAAAGACCACTTTAAAAGTTTATGCTGTGCAGTCGCTTGTCAAGAAATGAAAAGGCACGCGACTATCATTGAAGCCTTGTGTAACCGGCTTTTTGTTTTCGATCTATGGGTGGCATCCTGAAAAACGTTCTCCCATATCCTGAGCAGAAACTGAACGGTTTCTGCATACGCTGCCATAGACTGTCGTGTGGGACCGGTCAAGGATGCCCCTGTCACGACTTACATGAGCTTCTTCTCTGAGCACCCATGACATGATTTTGGCCGGAGACATAGAGGTGCACGTTGGTCATCTGTCACTCGATGAGACCCATCTTTATGACAGTCGTGGTTTGCTAGATTTCAGATTATTGCGATAGATTTGGTATTTTTTTATTACACCAGTGTAAACCACGGAGGCGGTGGACCCCATAGTCACGAAGACGTACTGTTCAGTGATGGTAACCGGCGACCTAAGCCCTGTAACTTGGAGTGGAAAACCACAAGGCCCCGCTAGCTCAAGCATGGTATTGAACCGGACAACAGCAAAGCTGCCTATCACCTAAGTTGAGTGACGGTGACTGTTCAAACATCGGACCACAGGGTTCAAAGCACGCTGGTGACAGCGACTAATTCACTGCGCTACCGCCACCCAATAGACTCCGGTCACCATGTAAAAGCACCCAAAACGTTTCGAGTCATTACGGATTTTGCGATTTTTGGAAGCGATGATGAAATCGTAACTACGTTCAGAAATACTTGTGACGCATTTGTTTTTGTTCGCTAGTGATGATATCACGCTGAACACCACCCTGCTACATTCACCATCATTTTTGATGCAGTTCACTTCCACATCCGATTTTGTCATCTAACTTGACCTTAACCAAACCCAAATCACTCAACTCACTAGTCTACCAGCTTGTTCGAATTACTCATTTAAACTCCCATGTTTGACATGATCATATAAATGTGCTTATACAGGAGCGCGCGAAACAGATGGTTGATATCAATTCTACCCAGATTTATTTTCTTGTGTTGTTGGAATCAATTGTGCTTCAGGCTGGGTTTCGCACGATATTTATACTAGTATGACGTTTTCACCACCCGGTGTTATTTCAAACAGTATTATTGATATTGTAGCCGTTTTATATTGCATTCTTTTGCACGTTTTCAATCCCCTAACTTCACTTATTTTCCGACCTTCACAGAATCAAAGATGATCGAGCAGGCCGGAGGATACAGCTTTACTCCGACAATACCTGCTAGCTTCAACTTTGGAGCGACCCCTGAGAAGTAATGGCGTGGATCGCACAATTCCTCCTTGCAGCATGCAGGAGTACAACAAAGACCGAAGACTACGAAAATCCGACGCGCAAACAGTAGTCTGTATAACAGAACCCGATCCCTATTCTCCCGCACATCTCAGATTCGTTTGTCTTTTATTTGTTTTGATGCATGTGCCACGATCCGCTGCTCTGGTTTTCTTGCCAACCCTTCACTGTACACATTGTCTAGACCGATTTGGCGAGCACATTGCCTCAGTGGATCTGTTTCTTTCCTTTTGATTGATGTCTCACCCTCCCGTCAATCGTGCTTTTGGAACTTCCCCGAAATTCGTGCAAATACAACCCGTCGATGGAATTATTAGTTGGTTCTCCATTCACTTCAGTGGGCTTGATGGCGTCCGCAAGAATAGGTTTTTCGTTCTACAAACGGTGTTGGTTCTACTGTGGCTTATACATATATTCAATGTGTTGATCATTGATCGCGTTCTCGTGGCACCGACTACCAGTCCTTAGACCTCTTTCTGACCTTTCTGAAACTGATTCTTTCAGTTGGATATAACTATTCGGCCTGGTGTGGACTATTGTTTGGAATCCGGGTCCGGTCTTGTTATTGCACAAATCTGGTCAGATCATCGCTTATCAAAAGTGTGATCAGTATTCGAGGAGAGATTCAGGGTCAATTAAGAGTTGCCAAACGACTGATAGAACGAAGGCGGCGGTGCTTCAGCTTACGAGCTACGGGACGGCCTAAGTCACTCATGAAAGGCGAACCCACTCAGATGGTGACTATCGATAGCGCTAATTTAGCAGTGGGAATGTTGCGCTTGAACTAAGACCGATATGAACTAATGTATGTCTAACGCACCAGCTTGACCCGCACGCGGGTGAGTTTTCCGGCAGACCACATAAATCTGAAGTATATACTTGTACTAAACAACGGTCTTTTCTACAAGGACACTACGAAATGCCGTGTTGTTTTTCACTTTTGTTGTCGGTGTTACACTTGGATAAATAAGTTGATGGTTCTTTTTACATTGTCTTTTCTCTGGGTTCATTATCCTCTTCGGCTTTGTTGCAACCCCTGCGTCACATTAACTCGGTCTGGTCGTCGTGTTCTTTACGAAAATGTAGAATATATATATATCAGAGACTACCTTGATGCCACCATCCAGAATTCCAATTGTTGGGATCAGATCAAAGTCGCGGACGATCAGCACCCCAGCATCAAAGCAGAAGTACCTTCGACATGCAAGATGGGATAATCTTGGTATTCATTATCAAACACCCCTGAAGGATTCCCAACCGCCAAACACAGATAATCGCAAATTAGTGTGACAACACGGAAGTACCGCACGGACCGCAATAATCCTGGTCATTTTAATGATCATCTTGAAGTGGAGTACAGTGAAGCGAACTTCACTCGTTGCTGCCAAACTCATGCATACAA